CTCCAGGCCAGCGGTCACTCTTTCAGGGATGAAGATGTGCACATCCTGGATAGAGAGGAACGATGGTTTGAGAGAGGAGTAAAGGAGGCCATCTTTGTGAAAAGAAATCGTCCATTGTTAAACAGGAGTAGAGGCCTCCGTGTTCAATTGTCCCCCTCTTACAATGCTGTGATTGCTAGTATCACTCAGCCCTCTGTGAATAGTAAACAGCCATCAGTGTGCTAATGATCCATTGTTAGGCTGATGGTCCTTCTTGAGCATGTGATCAGCTGGTTTTGGTTGTCAGCAGCAAAAACTGGTTGATCCACTCTGAGAAGGTGCTATTTAAGAGACTGAGCTGAATACAGCACCTCAGACTGAGGAAGTCTCTTGGATGAGAGATGAAACGTCTCTAAATGTTTTTGTTGTTTTGCTTTTTTTTTTTTTTTTGAATGTCCAGAGGACCAGATTTAACTTTTTTAGATAGATGTTCACATGATAAATTAAGACCATAAGCCTAACCACCGATCATTAGTGCTTTGATGGCCGCTTGCTATTCACAGAGGGCTGAGTGATACTAGCAATAATAGCATTTTAAGAGGGGGACAATTGAACACGGAGGTCTCCACCCCTGATAGACGATTTCACAAAGATGGCTTCCTTCACTCCTCTCTCAAACCAACGTTCCTCTCCATCAAGGACACACACTTCTTTATCCGCTGGAGTGACCGCTGGACTATCATGAGAAAGTTATGACACTCCTTAGTGACTTAACCACTTACTGTATGAGCCGCTGAAAAGAGATCCAGGAAGTGGTTACAAGAAGAAGTTGATAAATTGTCTGAAGCATATGGAGCAGGACAAGGCTATTGACTGTATTCTGTACCACAGACTGTACCCAGGGGAGGCCACGCCTAGTCTGTATGGTTTACCTAAAATTCACAAGTTGTATCTTTAAGACCGATTGCTAGCATGATCAACAGGAGGTTGGCTTGAAACACAGCAATGAAGGCTACTTATGGTACAGATCTGGTTGGCAGGCCGCAGACTGACGAAGTCCTCTGGATGGGGGACGAAACGTTTCTTCACTTAGAGAAACAGGTTCAGATGACATGATTTAACCATTTTTGCTGTCACTTACAATGTTTCCAAATATGTGACGTTAGAGCTGTTAGAAAGCCCACATTGTTGCATAGTTGGCATGTTTACTGAGCTCAGTTCGGTTTGGTTATGGCTTGTTTCTTTCTGAATTTCATAGTTCCTATGCACTTGAATACACCGTGGCTGTTCCAACGTTGGTGTAAAGTGCAGAGCTCAGTTGGAAGTTTTTTTTCTTTCTTTCCTGACACGGACGGAACCTTGTTGTTCAAGCTTGTTTGCGCTTTACTGGTTTCTGCTGTGCGTAAATACCAGAAGAAACACAGCAAATCTGTCTCCTTGTTCTTTAATGGGAAGACTGTGACCCAACAACTTCACCTTGCTGCTCTAACCAGTGACTAGCTATGTTTACATGCACAGAATTCTTTGACCGGATTGAAATGTGTTCTGTTTGAATAATTCAAATTGTATTGTTTACATGGGCACAATCTGTTCATGACGAGCGTTTACATGCAGCGGGCTTTGTTCTGAACAGCAGTACTGACATGCGCAGAGTGGTAAATTCTCCTTAAAAAAACACAGAAGAAGTTCTACTTCCGGGGTGAACGTAAACAAACCTGAGCACCAAAATGGACCCGCGATAGGTTTTAATGATGGTGGAGACGTTACTGCACTCCCTGACTGAGCTACAGGTAATACAGATCATTTTGAGCTCTTTCAAAGGTTCTAGTAGAAATGTTGTGTCGCTCACCGACCAGTTTTGCTTCCCTGACATGCTAATATTATTAGCATTAGCCAGGCGGAAATGGCAAAGTCGCACATGCGCAGTCAGGTCAGTTTTTCACGATCAGATAAAAACGAACAGATCAAGCGTTTACATGCGCACCGATCGGGTTATGGATCGGCCTAAACCACCCGTTTCGTTCTGATCACAAATTATATCGGATCGTGCTGAATACACAAAAAATAACCCGAACGGAGTGTTTACATGACACACTTTTATTCCGACCGGCCATTTGATCCGGTTACTTATGTCCATGTAAATATACCCAATGTCCTGCAGAACACCAAACCTCTCCTTTTTAGCAGCTACCGTCATTTTCACACCTAGCAGGAATTTACAGTGGCTCCACTGTGAGTCAACCAAAACCTATTGTAACGATCGATATCTGCATATGCATCAAGCTTGTTCACAGCGGGAGCTGCAGTTTTTACACAAGCGGCAGGGAAGGGGCTGGGTTTGTGAATGAGAGAGAAGGGGCCACGTGAAGTCACAGACTGGGAGAACAAACAGTCATTGCCCAATCAGATTTCTTCAATTTTTTACTGTAGGAATGTGTAACTAATGGTTAAGGGAAATGTATTGGACTAAAAGCAAAAGTCTCTAGAAATGTAAATAACTAAGTAAAGATACTTCAAAATCCGACTTAAGTACAATAACAAAGTATTTCGACTTTGTTACAACACTGGAGGGATGTCATTATGGAGACTGATGAAACAATGGTCTCTTAAGGTCACCTCACTCTTTACGCGCATTCCTGTTGATGATGCAGTAGAGGTGGTCAGTTTAAGGTTAAACTAAAGGTTAATCACCCTCTGGAGCACAAGTTAGGAGTCATCAGGACTCTGTATCACAGAGCAGACAGCATCCCCACTAACTCAGGAGCCAGGCAGAAGTAGAAATCCCACACAAGACAGGCTCTAGATTTATGTGGATATCTTAACTGGGCCTTCCTGCAAGCAGAGAAGAAACCCAAACTCCAGCCAGCCATCAGGGGAAAAGAAGGGACCCAGACCAGTAGTCATTCCGTATGTTGTGGGAGTTTCAGAAAAACAGACGTTTATTTTGTAAACACAACGTCCCAGCGGCTTTTAAACCCCAAAATACATTACGGCAAAGACTGGTTCATCCCAAAGATCCAGTCCCCCGGCACAAACAGAGTAATATCAGAGTCAGAGATTCATTATTGCCGTTCGCACCTCATGTGGTACATGTGGTCAGACGAAATTATGTACACAGGGTCCCACTTACATCCAACAATAAAATGTAAGAAAAACAATGATAACATCTAAGATATGAACTAAGAAAAACATCAACTACAAATACACTAAGCACTAATAGCATAAACACTTTACGTTGAACAGCACTACAAACATGAGCATGAGTCTGTGTGAGCAGATGAGCATGCATGAACACATCAACATTGAAACAGATCAGCAGTGACGTTATGTGTTTTTTTCACAGTGATTATTCTGGTTAGAGATTCATGAGTCTAACAGCTTCAGGGTAGAAGCTGTTCCTCAGTCTAGTGGTTCTACACTTAATGCTCCTCAATCTCCTTCCTGAGGGGAGCAGGGCAAAAAGTGTGTGTGCTGGATGAGTGGGGTCCTTCGTGATGCAGGTGGCCCTCTTCCTGCATCTGGAGGTGTAAAGGTCTGTGATGGTGGGGAGACTGACTCGAACATCTTCTGTGCAGCCTTCACCACTCTCTGCAAAGCTTTTCTTTCTGCAGCTGGGCAGCCTCCATGCCACACGTTGATGCTGGAGCACAGGATGCTCTCCACTGCACACCTGTAGAAGGAGGTGAGGACTGAGCTTCCCAGTCCAGCTCGTCTCATCCGTCTGAGGAAGCTGATGAGCTTTCTTGATCAGGATGGTGGTGTTGTTGCTCCAGCTGAGGTTGTCATTCATGTGTACAACAAAGTACTTGTAGCTGGAAACCATTTCCACTGTAGATCCTCTTATGTTCAGGGGGGGTGTAGGTGTGTTTGTTTCTTCTGAAGTCCACAATCATCTCCTTTGTTTTCTTCACATTGATGTGAAGGTTGTTCTTCCTACACCAGCTCTCCAGGTGTTCCACCTCCTGCCTGTAGCTGGACTCATCATTGTTTGTGATGCATCCAACCACCGCTGTATCATCTGCAAACTTTACAATGTGACAGCCTGGATGGGTAGCTGCACAATCATACGTGAGCAGAGTGAACAGGAGAGGGCTCAACACACATTCCTGAGGAGAGGATATTGTGTATGCTGTTCGGTGTCAGGAGGGTGATCAGTCATACATTGGGGAAACTAAGGGTGTTTTCACACCTGATAAGAGTCTGTTCGATTGGGGACCAATGTTCAGAACATTTGCTGGTGCATTCTCATTCACACTGCACTGAGTCAATTGAGCCAACCATTAAACAGGGGTGGAGGCCTCTGTGTCTTCTTACAGTCTGTTATTGCTAGTATCACTCAGTCCTGTGAATAGCAAACAGCCATCAGGGTGCTAATCATTGGTCGTTAGGCTGATGGTCCTCTTATCATGTGAACAGCTAGTTCTGGATGTCAACAACAAACTAGTTGATCCACTATGACAAGGTGCTATTTATAAGACTAAGCTGAATACAGCTCCTCAGACCGAAGTCTTTTGGATTAAAGATGAAATGTTTCTACAATTCTTTGTTCTTTTATATTTTTGAATCCGTCCAGAGGACCAGACTTAACTTTGTTAGATCTAACTCTGCTAATTTTATAAATATTGTACTAAAATTAGGTGTGGTTGTAGTCCAATGCTTCTGTTAGTGAAACACATTTCTCGACATCTTTGCATAAAATCTTGTCATTAAAGCTTGGAATCAACCCTGTTTGTCTGTTAGGAAAATATCTTGTAATCCACTGAACGAAATTCTAAGACATTGATCATTTGATGCACATCTACGCCTGATTAACTTATGACGTCAATATTCAAGATGGATGCAACAGCTAATTGATCTCAACCTACTCACAAATGACTATAACTCTGTCAGTTTTATAGCTGATGAGCCAAGTAGTGGAGACTTATTCACAACATATTTCCAGGTGCTAACAGATTATGACCATGAAGGACTCAGATGGCTAAAAGAAACAGCAGAGCATTCAGGATTTGCCACAGACGTACCCTAAAAGGCTGATCAGGAATGAAAGGAAAGTAAGCGGTGGACGCCTCCTCCTTGGTCCACTTTCCTGAGATGCAGGCGCTGCGCAGGAATTGGCGGTCGCTGAAGCTCGCCGTGAGCTTCAGGGCCACGTCGTATGGAGGCTCCTCTTTCTCCGACTCTCGGCCGCAGGTCAGGCTGATGTCAAAGCTGAGGGGGGAGGACAGGTGGAGTCAGACAGGATGTTAAACAGGAGGAGTGGGCCAGCTAATCTGGGGTGAAGCAAATGAATAATTCTGCTGTTACTGTGTAAGAGCAAACCAATTGTTAAATTATGTATAATCTGTGCTGCTGGGTTCGGGTTTATCCTCCCGGGCCTGCAGCTGTGCAGTTCAGACCGTCTGAGATCTTTGACAGTAAACTTCCTGAGATGCAAGAAAAGAAAAAAAAACAGCTGGAGCAGCTCTGTCAGCTTGGACATTCACAGAAAGGTTGGTTTGAATCTCCTGCCAGCTGCAGCAGCTGCTGAAGATGAGGTCATGGAGGATTTTTCTAAGTTCAGCACAAGTTTCCATGTAGGGTAAGAAGGACACACCCAAACAAAATGCTGCACTGGGACTTCTTTAATGATGTTTTGGCCCATGTCTGTGTGTGTTAGCAAAATATATTATTAATGGGAAGACAGATTTTAATGAGTCTTTCTGAAAGTAATGCTTGGATGTACCTCTTCAACTGCTTTAACTTTTACAGATAATACAATTCAAGATGGCTGCCACAGCTAATCAACATTAGCAAACGCAAAAATAACTAACTGTTCAGTTTTACAGATAAGGAGCTACAATTTGATGTTGTAGTAGCAGAAAGTCCTCCACAACACAAGCTTGAGCTTAATTATTTTCAATGTTTGACTAAAACACTGCAGCACGGTGGTGCAACTGGTAGAGCTGCTGCCTCTCAGCGAGTAGGTCCCTGGTTCAAATCCCGGTCCAGGGACATTTCTGGGTGGAGTTTGCATGTTCCTTCCGTGATGTGTAGGTTTTCTCCAGGTACTCCAGTTTCCTCCCACAGACCAAAAACATGCATGTTCGACTGATTGGTAACTCTAAATTGTCCCTAGGTGTGAGTGAGAGAGTGAATGGTTGTTTGTCTCTATGTGTCCCTGTGATGGACTGGAGACCTGTCCAGGGTGTACCCGCCCCTCACACAGTGATTGCTGGACATGGGCACCGGCGACCCCCGTGACCCAAAATGGAAGAAGCGGGTAAAAGATAATGGATGGATGGACTAAAACACATTCAATTTTGATACTTGTCAGTTCGAGATGTCAGCCTGATATTAGTCAGTTATACTATTTATCATATTTGTATATTTGCCTGAGCTCTGGTCGGTTTACATTCCTACTGGGAGTTCATTTGTTTTTACCCTCCTTTCTCTTCGTGCTGGTAGGAGAACGCCCTTCACCGTGCGTGACAATGTAGCTGTGCAAGTTTGACAAACTAAGAACAGCAAAAAGAAAATGTCTTATCTGACTATGAGCTCATGCTCTGGTGCGGTGTGCGCGTGCTCTGTGCAGTCTTATCTCACCTGTATGGCTCCAGGCCCACGATCCCCATCACTATGATCTTCTTCCCGGGTCGCATTCCGCCGCGGACGCGCCCGCTGAACGGCACCGTCTGCGCAAACAAAGCACACACACCATGATTCACAGCGTCAGACTGGGAGAAGTGAAGGGTCAGCTGGGTTAGAGAGAGGGGAATTCCCACCAAGAGACGGGATAAATCCTCCTTGCCCGGTGAGATGAGCCCGGGGTTCCCCAGCGAGTCGCTCAGGTGCTCCTCATCCACGGTCTTCAGCAGCAGGGAGGGAAAAGACACAGTGATGATTTATTAGAAGGCTCAGGTCGCACGAGGCCTACATCAACACGGTGGCTGCAGCAGAGCTGACCTGTTCCTGCACGGAGCCACGCGCTTTTTAAAACATCTTAACCCCCGCTGCAACGTGTGTCTGCGCGCACACGCACACAAACATACACGGCTGATCAGTTTCACCATATCGGACCCCCGGCTCAGGATCAATGAGCAGTGCGCGCTGAACGCGCTCCAGCTGCACAATAAAACCAAGCGGTGCGTCAGATCTTACCCACATCAAACCCATCCACCCCCCGCCTGTCTCTAGATCCCGGCGCGGCTTCACAACACTCACCATCCCCTCCTTTTCTGTTGCCTGCACCGCCATCTTGAGCACAGTATCATAGGATGCTTGTTAAAGGCGCAGAGGCAGCCGCGGTGCGTCGTGGCGCAGGAGGATCCTCCAGTTCCTGGGTCTGCTCGGGGCCCCCCCAACAGGCACAGTGCACCTAGGGGGAGGACATCCCCCACCCCCTCCTCCGTCCTCAGATGGGTGGATATCTGCTGACGTGTGCTTTATTATAATCAGTCTCCAAGCTTAATCCCCGTCTGTTGGAGAAGGCTAATCAGAGATTTTCCCTTCTACTCTGCTCTTCAGCCAGTCAGGAAACTTCAATGCATTTCTCTCTCTCTCTCTCTCTCTCTATCTCTCTCTATCTCTCTCTATCTCTATCTATCTATCTCTATCTCTCTCTCTCTCTCTCTCTCCTGTTTTGCAGCAGCAGAACTGGTGATGGTTGGTAGTTTTATGAGCTGCTCCACACACGGAGGATGTGGCGCGCAAAGCCAATAATTTGGACTGCTCAGGCTGGACTGTGGCTCAGAAGCTAAAAATAGACAGAAGTGAGAGAAAAAATTGCCCAATTTCTGCACATAACGCTTCGCGCAATACTTTTACGCCTCTCTGTTCAGATTGGTGCATGTTACCGCTCTCCTTTTGTGTTTGGCCTCCACTCGAAGCTGATTTGTGTTTATTTGAACTCACACTGCCCCCATGTGGTCATTTCGAAGCACTGCAGACTGATTCTGAAACTGCTGCTGAAGCTGAAAGCTACAAACCTGTATGGTTAGGCGATATTATTCATATCGGCCTGATTTAATTTAGTATTGATTGCCATCACTGCAATAAAAGACCCATAAATCATTTGGGCCATTCATCATTTTGCCTTTGATATTTGAGGTTGTCCTTAAGTTAAATTAATTTTGTGTTTCCTCCAAAGATTTTGAACTGAACTCTGAAACTATTCCTCTGTCTTCAGTTTTCTGAGAGAAAGAGCCTCTAAAAAGTTAGAGTATAGAAAGAAAAAATATTTTGGTAATAAATTCTGTTTTTAGATGAGCGTAAACTAAATTATTTAGGATATTTCTTATGTGATGATAGCAATCTAACTTTTTATAATCTATTTTATGGGGTTATTTTCCAACTATGAGCACAGCAACCTTGTCAAAGTAAGCAGCATTGCATGAAAGGGTGATGATGTAAAGATTCTGGATAGAAACATCAAACATTGTGCAGATAACAATGGACTTTTCAACAAGGAAAATATTAAAACATGAAGCTAAAGTTGTCATTTTTAAGCGATCTAATACAGACTTTGAGAATCTGTGTAGCTATGGTAACAGTTTAAAATAAAATCAAAGCCTATTTTTAAAACAGGACAGTCAGATGAAGAACTATTACAATATTTATTAATATTATATTAATAAACCAAGCGAGAAGGACAGAACTGGTTAAGATGAGCTAGATGTTCAAATGATCATTCTTATGATAAATGTTTACAATTAAAATTCTACATAATAATTTGATGGAGGTTACACATCATCAGTAGAGACAGACTGGAGGCAAAAAGCTTTAGGTTGTTTCTACTAATTAGATCATATATTCACATTCAGCTTCCACAAATACAAAATGAGGTCCTCTGTGCTTTTAAATGGAAACTGTTCCAGATGTTGAACACCCCAGACACTCAACAAGGCCCAAGATTCAAAATGAGTGGGCCAAATCGAGTCCAACCTAGCATCCATATTAAAAATCCATAGTTTTTACTAAATGCAGATGGTAATATTCCCCCGGAGTCGGACATATGGACATATTTACCTACTCCCCCCCACCCCAAAAAGTAGTTTTCTCTGTTCTTTTTATTTTGAATCTAATATTAGAACAAGGTTGTATGGATTTGTGCATCATTTTCTAAATTGCAGTACAAAGTCACTTTATCTCCCAGTGCCAAAAGGGGAAATGTGGGCAATAATGTTTCTGCCTGTGACTGTATGTGTGTGTGCTCATGTGTGGGCATTAGCAAAATATCTCATGAGCCACCAGACATTTTGTTAAAACTTTCAAAAATAATAACAGAAAGCACTGCCACACCTCAATAACTTTTGAAATTAGTCAGATTAAGACAGACAAACACAAGTGGATCAACCAGTTTGCTGCTGACAGTCAGAACTAGCTGTTCACA